CCAAGATACATCATGTACAGGTACAAGCACCCAAAGATAAATGTAAATGTATTGTATACCTAAAATGTACCAATAAAAGAATTTAAGAAAAAAAATATTCCATATCATCTCAAAAGGTGGACCAATGAGTAGCGATTATGATAATTTGGATTTTTTACTCAACACACACACAGCTATGTTTTGCTAAAGAGCCTTTTGAAAAGTTTACTTTAAATATATCTAAGATTCTCTGTGTAATTTCATTTACTATTCAGTCAATACTTTCTTCATAAATAGTTCAGAAGAAAAATTCAACACAGTCCTTGCTGAATTTTCATAAATTCTTAATTACTAAGATTCAAAATAATGAGGCCTTATTGTACACTGCTTAAGAAAGATTTTTAAATGCTTTAATCTCTTTCTTCCTGTTTTTATTTCTTAATCCCATGCCTTGGCCCACCCCATCGTGTGCCCTCAACTCCCACTGAAGCAGAGAGCACATCAAAAACCCACATGAAAATGTAAATTTGAAAAATAAATATGCTTGGTTGGTTTTAAAAGAGTAAGAATTAACATTTAAAGCAATGATAATTTACCCTGATCTGTAATTTTGAGCTCCTGTGCTGAAATTGCTCATTTGGAAAATACCAAGTGCTTGGGTTTCATTTGTAATCTTTTTCCTGCATATACCCAGCACAAAAAGGAGTTGTAATGACTGGCTGAGTCACTGCTGCCATTTCCCCGAAGCGTGTGCTCCAAATGTCAATAGCATTTTCTATGGTACAGTGAGGACTATTCCAAACTAGCCTGCTTACACTACGGGGTGAGTGTGAAACAGTACAGAACATGGAATGTGTTCAAAGGACAGCACCATCTTCCTCCATACTCTGTTCCTCCAGTGGTCAAATTGTAATACTAGAGATCATTTTGACTTTGCAAATTATTCTTCTTGCCTACTCTCATTAGTAGTCTCACCTGATTATAAATGAAAAATTTTAAATTTATAGGAAGTTTGGAGATGCTTTTGGTAATATCCCAATAAAATGATGTCTACCCTTGTTGAAATTATACTTAGATTATAGATTCATACTACATGTGCTACATGTCTGTAGCAAAACTACAGACATGATATATATAATATTAGATATATGAGTACTCTAAAAGACCAATACATGGAAAACCTGTGTGCTACTCTTTGGTTCATACTTTAGATATACTGTTCATTCCAATTTCTCAAACTATAACTCTAAATAGTTTACCCAAAATGCAAGCATTGGAACTTCTCTCTTTTTTCCCATTCAACATAGATCCAGAGTGTTACTTGTTAATAGCTGTCTGATATAAGTTAACTAAGAAGGAACCAGGAATACTTGTCAAATTTAGTGGAGAAAGGGAAAGAATTCGCAAAGCCTTAATATGATTGAACTTTTTTATAATGCTGTGAAAAAGGGATAAGTACTATATCTTTGTTATACTGTCTTTGTTGGGTTTCCATAGAGTTATTTTATTTAGGAGACATAATTTACCTTGTTGAGTAGTCATATCCAGGTACGGATGAGCTACGTTTTATTTTATTTTCTATTTACTTATTTGCTTGTTTGTTTATTTGGTTTTTTTGATACAGGGTCTCGCTATGTACTTCAGGCTGGCCTTAAACTCACTATGTAGTCCAGGCTGGCCTTGAACTCATGGCAGTCCTCCTGCCTCAGCCTCCTGAGTTCTGGGATTGCAGGCCCAGGCCACCATGCCCAGTGGATGAGCTATGTTTTAATGGGGTTCTATCTTTATAAAAGTTATTTTGAATTCTGAAGAATGCTTATGTGAAAGATGAAAAAAATAAACTTCAACTGTAATAGGAAAAATTTTAGCCAGATATAAGGAAGAAGATCTTGGCATTCATGTCATAGATATTTTGGTAATGTGTGTCAATAAAAACAATTAAGTACTATAATTCAGCTGTGACTTCTTGGGTAGAGATTTAATATACACATAGCCTAATGTTCCCAAGTTGTAGAATCTTCTTTTTTAAGACAAAATGGAGGTGCCAACTGTCTGGAGGGTTAAGACTGAGTTGTGAATAAGCCTGCTTTCTCCAGCAGATAAAGTTCAAAGGGATCCAATGGACTGTGAATAGAAAGTCAGTAGAATCTTTAACACCTACAGAAAGATTTTTTAAAGAAAAAAAATCATTGTGGCTGTTTTTTCCTTCCTTTAGGATTTTCCATCCTACAAGCAATTATGGAAGCAGCAGTGCAAAACAACTGGCAAGTGACAGCGAGGTCTGTGGGAAACATAAAGGATGTCCAAGAATTCAGGCGCATCATTGAAGAAATGGACAGAAGGCAAGAAAAGCGATACTTGATTGACTGCGAAGTTGAAAGGATTAACACAATTTTGGAACAGGTACATTTAACATTTATTCCAGCCCCCATCCAACGTGTTAAATCATCATCCTGAAGCAGTTCCCATGTCTGCTAATAAATTAAATAGCCAACAGTCTAAACATGCCAACAGTTTTTGTAGTGTCTCTAATCCTTTTTTCCTCCTCAATGACTGCAGCAAAAGAAAGGGAAAGCAAGAAGAGAAAATCTAAGCTGTTAAAAATTATATACCATGATTAATCTGAAAGTTTCTACAATCTAATGCTACCTACCAGATAAACACACATTTCTGTTTTGTTTTGTTTTGTTTTTTTGGTCCAGGGATCAAACTTGGGTCCTTGTGCTTGCATAACAGGCGGTGAAACCACTTAGCTAAATCCCCAGCCCTCACACATCTCTGTTTAATAGATAAGATGGGTGACTATTTCAAAACAAAAGGAATCCTCGTTCTTTTTCATAACTTCTTCCCACCAAGAACAGACAAAGGATCAGGCAGAACTGAAGGGTAGGTTTTTGGTTTTTCATTGCTGGAATATGTACTATTCCCAGATTCTTCCAGAAATCACCAGACATTCTTAATGAGTATGTGTAAGCAGACTGCCAGGGCAGTAATGACCAAGGTTGGATTCTGTATATTATTTTTGGAGAAAGAGACAGAGAGAGAGAGAAAGAGAGAGACAGAGAGAAAGAGAGACAGAGAAAGAGGGAGAATGTATATAAGTTAAGATCTTTATAAAGCATAATATGACATATGAGAAAAAATGTTTTGGTTTTAAAAGTGTGAACGAAGTAAAAGAAAAAAAGAGTAAGACTTGAGGGAAAAATACAATTCAGTGGGCCAAAAAGTATTCATTATTAGCTTGCATATTTAAATATAAGACTAAAAAATATTAGTAGAAATGTTTCACCCTAAGCTAGATAGATACTGTATTTGAGGTAGAGTCAAATTGAAATGCAGTGAAAGTTTATTATTTTCTACAGAAGTCTCAATTTCCCAGTTAATAACAGAGTGTCCATGCTGCCATAAACAAAACTGTAAGGGAAACATTTCCATTCTAATTCAATCCCAGTGTACCTGGGGGCCAAAACAGCTTCAGAATCAAAATTATAGTGAGAAGCCATTGCCTGGGAGAGCTGGTTTATAGCAAATTCAATATTAATAATTTCTCAGTTATGCCCTCATAAGAAGAGAATGCAAAAATAACAGGGAAGGGAAGAGAATGGGGAAAGGGGAAGGGAGGGAAGGAGGGAAGAGAGAAGAACGGAAGGAAGGGGGAAGGAGGGAGGGAAGGGAAATTGCTGACTCTGCATGGTAGAAATATAAAGCTACCCCCTGTTTATAACAGCATACTTCTAGTGAATCACAGCTCACAGAAAATCTAGAGCACTAGCCTCATCAAATCAAGTTTCCCAACTAACATTCTCTGGAGCTACACAAATGATTCACCCTCCCTCTGCCTCCTGTCCCCCAAAAAACTGCCTTCGGTTTTCTTAGATCTTGAAAGTGAAGAATCAGGTCAGTGATGTTGGTGTATGTACTGCATGACCTCTAAAATTTTATACCAAAATAGCCTTTTAGTGGGTGACCTACTTAATGGCCCAAAGCAGAGGAATATCCTCCTTGTTGTACTTTGTTTTCCTTCCTTTGTATTAGATATGGATTCTTGAATATCTTATATTCTATTAAGTATTTGTGGTTTTATAGGACATTACACTGTAGTCTTGGAATTTTCAGCTGTGTATAAGACAAAAAGTGGTGGGAAGAGCTCTAAATTCTATATAGCTGTGAGACCCTGGCCTTAAATATTTATGCCTCAGTTTTCTCATCTACGTAATGAAGAAAATAAAATTTGCTCTACCTCAAATGGTATGCATAACTCCTCTAAAAGTCAAAAAAATGACATAGTACATCATTATTACTACATACTTTCAAGAATATTAAACAGACATTATTCAAAAATTCTCCTCTTTTCATGTCTCAGTCCTCTATCTTCTTTTGTTCTATATGTATATTCACAGTATCCCTCAAAATACTTTCTATATAATTTTATTCTTTTAAAAAAATTATAATAAAACTATCAACTCATGATTGTTTTCTCTTCCATTTAAGGAGCTCTTCCCAGGCCATAAGTTTTATGAGCTAGAGTTCAGGTTTATCTTGTTCACTGTTATAAAACTATGTATTGGGCACATAGGGATGGATGGATGGATGGATGCATGGATGGATGGATGGATGGATGGGTAGGTGGATAGGTGGATGGACACTGACCAACCACATTTCATTAAGTTCCAATGAAATTTTGCTGTTTCTGTAAAGAGACCAAAAAAGGGACTAAAGCCACATGATATGGTTGTTAAAGTATGCTTTTTCAATAGTTGAAAATAGTGGCCCTCTGATTAAGCCTATTGCAATATTTTGAATTTGTCATAATTTACTTCCTACATAAAATAAATTTCTCATTAAACACATTATCTAAACTAATAACTTTACCATGTTATTTCTTTAGAGGACACTTTTTTAAATCAATTAAATGCTAAGATACAGATGTGTCATGTTTCTCATAGGTTTTTAATCATTATTCTGACAAACTTATAATTCACAATACAGATTTTGGTTAGAATGGTAACACTTAAAACTCAATCAATGTCAAATCCTCTCAAGAGATACCCTTATTCTCCAAATGTTTTGAACTTTATTTGAGGCTATTTTCATAGAAGGAAGTTTCTATAGTCCCTCATAAAATGCTGCTTCATACCACTATCTGAGGGAAAAGAATCTGTTACACCTCTAAAGTTATTCTCAATAATCAGATTCTGGTATGAAGTTTATATTGTATTTCATATCCAATGGGTGTTAATGAAAATACCTCAGTGTGCTGTAATTTTTCAAATGTAAGCAGGTCTTCAATATAGTTGGATAAAACATGATCTCCATATTTTGTGATATGTTATTTTCTCCAGTGAATGTTCAAACACTTAAAATAAATCAAAACTCTTCTAACATTTCTTCCAAAGCTCTTTTTTAAACTGAGCCCTTTATATAACAGTAGAAGAAAAGACTCAATTAGTTACTATTATGTATTTAATATCTCTCTTTAACAGTTAACCTATGAGGGAGGAATTCCATATTTACAGCTATAAGAATTAACATAGAAAAGGACAGAGCTAGAAATGAAGCCATAAGGGGTTGTTGAGGCTCAGAGAATATTTAGAAACTCTAGATCCTGAATCCAAGAATTAAGAGCATGTTGTAAGTTTAAGCCTACTAGGGTGAATGAGCCATTGACCCAACTCACTGTGGCTTTTCCCATTAATGTATTATGTTCGTACAAATCTCACCACTGGTGGTCAGCTGCCTTAACTCAATGACCAATCTAAACATTAACTTTTGAAAAATTTGCTTCTCAGATAATTATCTGGTCATGACTGGATATCTCCTGCCCCCAGTAACATACATGTATGGACAGCTTTTGTCTATTTGGCAAGGCAGTATAGCAGAGAATTTCAGAGCATGGATTCTGGAGCCAGTTTGCATGGCTTGTCACTTATTAGTCATGTAACCAGGAACAAGTTACTTATTTTTCTTTGCCTCCATTTCCTTGTAGTAAAATGGGAATGAAAAAAGTACCTAAATCAATTAATTCAGAAAATTTCAGATACATTGTGTTTGTACAGTGCTTTGATGCTAAAACAAAGTATTTTCACATAAACTATCTCATTTGAACATCACTATGGGAGGCAGGTAGGGCAGATTATCCTGAATTTACAGGTGATGAATTGAGGATTGCAGACATTTAGATGACTTGACCAAATGTGGCTATCTACTCAATCCTACTTAGTGGCAAAGCAAAGACAAAACTCATCTTTGCACTCTTGATTCAGTGCTATTACCCATACAATGCACCGCCTCCCTTAATTTCTAAGTTACTCATTAAATAAATGTTCAACCAGTGCCAAACCTTGGATCTGGCCTGTGCATCAGGTTATATCTTAAAACAATTGCAAAGCAATTAGAGATGATCCAAAGAAGAGCAGCAAAAACAAAAACAAAAAATATAAAAGCATTAGAAAATAGGGCCTGTGAGGCAAGGCTAAATAAGTTAGGGTTGTTTATCCTAGAGAAAGAGAGCCAAGAGACAGTTTAATCACCATCCTTAAGTATAAAGAGTTATTATAAAGAGGTTACTGATCAACTGTTCTGGGTGCCTACGGACAATACCGACCACATGAGCTTAAGTAGACTAAAGAGACAGTCTGCACTAGTACCAACTCCTTATAAAGGGGAGAGGAAACAGGAAGAAAGGGGAATTTCACCAGTTCAGGCTCTGTGAAGGTAAGGCCATACTAGATTAGTAAAAATCAGATCTAGAAGAACTTTTAGATTGTTTTAAGAATATACAAAATTCCAGGTTAATTCTGTGTGTTGACAAGGAAAGATCCTGACAAAAGGTTTATTTTAGTGAATAGAAAAGGAAATTGTCATTGAGGAATTGATTCTTCTGAGGACCCTTCAGAGACACCAAAATCTGTGAGTGCTCAAGTCCCTTTTACAAAACTGCATACAATTTGCCTACAACCTATGCATATGCTCCTTAAAGTTTAAATCATTTCTAGATTATTTATAATATCTAATGCTATGTATATAGTTATTATACTATATTTTTAGGGAATAATGACAAAGCAGAATCTGCATGTGTTTGGCAGATGCAATTATTAAAATATTTTTAATCTTTAATTAATTGAATCCATGGATGTAGAACTAGAAGATACAGAAAATTAACTACCTTTCCTAATTTGTCTATCCATTACATATGCAAAAGATTGCCCCCTTAAAGAGATTTAAACATCTCCTGATCAGCCTTTATCATGCTTTTATTTTTTCCATAGATAATTCAAAGGTAAATCTCAAGCTATATCATCTGCCTAAATTACAGCATGTGCTAAATGGGGCCCAAACTGATACATTCCAATATTTTATCCAGGAAAATTATAGAACGTATGGTTTCTCCTGGAGCTATTCCA